CTCTTGTGCAAATATCAGAAGCATGTAGGTGACTCAGTCATCCTAAATAAACAAAAAGGCCTGAGAGACAAATAAGGTGAATCAATCCCAAGGGTGAAAGGATTACAAGACCTAAGGCTAACCAGGAGAGCCAGATAGAAAAAGACCAAAGAAAGGTATTAGCAATTATCTTATGACAATAGATAAAAGGAACTGAATTCGATAGGGAATTTATGGATGAAAAAGTCAAAGTTTAAAGAATCTGAAATTCTGTCAAAATCATAGCAATCAAGGATGTTTGCACAGCTAAGATTGGGAGGAAAAACACTAATCCAGATCATTCCTCATGAGTCATTTATTCTTAACTGCTGCTTACAATGGCAAGACCTATCATATTCCTTTCCTTTCATGGATAAATGAATTAAGCTTCCCAGTACACATATGCCTGAATAGTGGGGAGGGTGACAAGTGATTATAAAGACTAAATAATATAGTTAATGTTTGCACTACTGTGAAATAAATTCCAGATAAAACAAAATATAGCTTTGAAACCATTTAATTATAGCAAATCTTAAAGTCAAGTTATAAGTCAAATATCATTATTTACCTTGAAAGAACACCCTCATGCAATATTTACATTCACCTGTTTATTCAACACAAATTACAATAATTCTTCTAAATATCACTCAAAAGTTTAAGAAATATTAGCATACTAGAAACTCAATTTTGGAATGAGCAATATTATGATCAGTTAATATTTATAAACTTCATTCATAAGATTAATTAATAAAGCATTAATAATGAAGCAATATTTTCTGTACAATAAAAGTATCTAATCAGCAATATGAAACTGGTTATTAAAAGAAATCAAAACTCTGAGCCAGGCTCTTTCAATCAATTAAAAAAAAAGGGCAAGGAAACACCTTCTGTCTATATCTCAATTATTCAATCTGTATACTTATTTATGTGATGCCTACCACTGGAACTCTTTCATAGCAGCTTTTCTGGCCACCCCATAAGGAGCTAATGCATTTAATCAGTTGATCGTATATGTCAAGTATCCTTTCTCTTTTGATAGATTACCCCAAAGAGTAGGCTAACAACCCCAATTTGCTGACTAATTGAATTTTGATATATTCTCCAAAGCCACTTATTTTCCCCCTGACTAATTAAATTTGCAAGCAGTTAAATCGAACAGGTTCAGTAATATCTGCCAAAGTCCCTTCATACTTCATTAAATTATGGAAACTTAGCCAGTGTCTCATGCCCTGAGGAAATACAGTACATTTAAATAGTCATTCCTAAGGGGAGAGGGCCGAAGTGGTAAAATAATATGATTTTACATAATGCATGTTAAAATGTCCAGTATTATATTTGATATTTTGCCATTGGATATATCAAATAATTTTAATATTACAAATGGGTATATGGGCAGGTTTCTTTGCTCATAATGTAATATCTGCACTAATATGTATGAATCTAGATTAAAGCAAACTGGGATGTACTTTCTATTGTTAGCTGGAATAAAGATAGCTCAATTAGAACATGGATTTCATTTCTAGCTCAGCTAAAAAGTACAACCCCTCAAAAACTGCAGAAGCTTCCAGCAGAGTAAATGCATTTTCTTTACCAAAAAGCCAAGGCTCACTGCAGAAGAACAGGGGGGAAAAAAAAAAAAGCCTCATTAATTAAGACCACAAAAGTAAAATTCTTAATAAGTCAACTTTGGCTAGCTTGAGATTTGGAAATGAGTTTGCTGAGTAAATTAACAATCAAATACAATTGGAGGAGAGACTTTTGAGGACATATGGGAATAAATGTGTTTTTTTTTTAAAGCAGCTTGGAAGAATTATTTATATAGGCAATTACTATGTGAAAAGAGGTGTGCTAACAGAAAAAAGGACAGGATTTGAGTCAAAAGATGTACTCAGTAGTAGTAGAAATTGCTTCCTTGATCTGAGCCTTCATCTGTAAAATTGATGATATTTATTTCACAACATTGTGGGAGGCCAAAATGAAATAATGTACATGAGTTGTAAATTCTCAGGAGCTGAATAACTATTGGGTATTTTTATTATGTGCACAAAATAATAAGCATATGAATAAAAATAATTTTAGGAATATTCCACCCTCTACTTTTTAGAGTTAAGACAACTGGTGCACAGCATAGTCAAGTGACTTATCCATGGGTACATAGCTAGTTAATGGAACTATTATTAATATCCCTTATTTGTTAATCATAGCAGTTCCTCTAAAGAGCCACTATACTTCCTTGACTTTGTTTTCATAGCCTGAATTACTTTAAAAGATAACTATTAACAAAAAAAAAGTATTTCTTTTTTAAAAAAATTACATTGATTGATTGATTGATTGGTTGGTTGATTGATTTTAGAGAGAGAGGAAATTAGACAGATGGGGGGAGAGAAGAAGGGGAGGAAGGAAGAAAGGAGAAAGAAAGACATCAATTTGTTGTTCCACTTATTCATGCCTTCATTGGTTGATTCTTGTATGTGCCCTGACCTAGGATTGAACCCACAACCTTGTTATATCCAGATACCAAAAAGGTGTTTCTTTATAAGTATTCTTGTTTTTAAAATTTTACACTTGAATCTTTCATAAACATTTACTTAGAACCTAATATATGCAAGTCACTGTATTAGCTGCTGGAAACAAAAACCAAGACATGATCCTTGTCTTTAAAGAATTCTTATTCATAGAATTCCCTCTCCAGGCTACCAAGTTCCCATTGCTTTTATTCTGGTTTTAGGCTGCCAAAGTTACTCCTCACTGCCCCTAAGCATCCATACCCAAAATAGACTTCCCTCTCCCTTCTAACCTTCCTGGAGCTCTCCGGTATCAAGAAACCTTATTAAAGCACTTCATTTTTGGTTCATGGTACATAACTCATTCTGAATTCAGGCCAAGAAATTATTCCTGGGGGTCAATTTCCTACAGCTGGAGAGGAATAATGGATAAATTTCTACAGGGTATCAGCAATAAGCAGGGACAGTGGGAGAGATGAGAGACTAATTTTTCATTTTTAACCTTAAGGCTATTCAACTGGCAAGATGTTCATATTCTAGAATCAAAAAGACTACCTGGTCACCAAATCATACATAGTTGGGTCTTCCTCCCTATTAGGTCCTACCTTCCAAATTGAATATCCACTTGCTGGTTGAAAACCCAAGAGGCAAAAAGTCAGATGTTAGGAAAAGTAAGAATTGGGCAAAGGGGAATCTGAAAAGGGACAACTTAACAGGCAGAGAGAATTATTGGGTATTTTATTTCTGCTCCATAAGTTAACTAGCTATGTGATCTATGAGATCTTAACTAGCTATCTGAGTCTCAGTCTCCTCATCTCTAAAATTGTCATTAATAGCACCTACCTCAAATGGTTGTTGTGCCAATTAAATGAGTTAATAAATGTAAGATACCTGACTCTTGGTAGGCATTCAGTAAATATTAGTCCCCTTTCCACTTGTGGCCAGGTCATCTACCAATACAACACCTCCTCCAATTTCACTACCTCTGTGGATAAAACTACAAGATGTGGATATCTTCTCACCACCCAACCAGAAAAGAAGGAGGCCCAGCTTCCCAGTGCCCCCTGAGTTTTGTGAATCCTGGACTATTTCAAGAATCCTTTCCTGCAAACCTCAGACTATCTCATTAAAGTCTAACAAGGGATTAACCATTAGACAAATAATTTATGTAGATTGTAAATCCAAAAGGAAAATGGAAATTAAGTTGTTATTTTATTAGGTTGTAATTAGTTACTAAAGGTTTCAACACGCCTAGTAATTCTATGAAAGTATGTTGAGTTTAATCTCATTTCAATTAATTACCTGTATTTATACCTACATCTATAGATATCCATATATCCATCTATTGTATATAATCTTGATCCAAACTCTATCCTGAATTTTTCATAAGTGCTATGATCTTTGGGAGCGTATTCTGAGTATAAATGAGGGCTTGACTACATCCTGAAATTTTCTTAGAACACAATCCATCATAGCAGGGAATCCAACAAAGAGACCATCATCAATGTATTCAAGGGATTTACTTCACTGAAAGTAGGAGACAATCTCCATTTATTATCACTTCTTCATTCATAATGCTATTCCACCATACAAGCCCTGAGTTCAATGGAGATTCTTAATCAGTTAACAACCCCCCTCTCTAAGCTTATCTAGTGCCTCTTCCACTCAGTCCCTGTGCTCCAGCCACACTGGCCACCACTGCACTCATTTAATATACCAAGTTATTTCCAATGTCAAGACCTTCATAAATTATTCCTCTGCCAGGAATACCTGTGACCCAATCTTAGTGGTCCAGATCCCTAACATCAGGAAAGTAGACCAGTCTATTTTTACATACATACAGAATTTGATGAGGGAGAATTATAAAACAACCATTTGAACCAAATAACACAATGCAATAGAAGTCTCTTCTAGCACTAGCTTTCTTATCCTCAAATTAAGAGTAATCTCTGCCCTTCTGGAAGAACCTTTTATGTCAATAGTAAGTCCCCAGATTTCTGGGATAATTTGCATTAATATCTATTCTAATGTGAAGATAGATTGGGCCTAGAAAACTAGAGTCACTCTAACCTCACCAACAGGTGCCCCAAGCTTATTTGGTTCTCACAAGTTTGACATTGTAACAGGCAATGTAGTGGTGAAGGTTTGGAAACTGACATCTCTAGGTTTGAATCCTTACTCCAACACTTATTAGCTATGTGTCTTTAGGCAAATAACTTAACCTTTCTGGCCCTCAGTATTCTGATGTATAAATCTGGATAATAATAATACCCCATTGGATGGTTGTCAGTATTAAATAATATAATTCATTTTGCTATTCAATACAATGCCTGGTACATAGTAAGTGCTCAATAAAGGTCAACTATTACTAGTGTGACAATCTTCACCTTCATTCTTGGTCCTGGGACACAATTCAGGTTCATTCATTTATAGAACATTGATAGCTCACTTACTACCACGTTTCCCTGAAAATAAAACATCCTCCGAAAATAAGACCTACTTACAGGTTTTCTTCTGAGTGAAATATAAGGCATCCCCTGAAAATAGGGCCCCCCTAGGCTCTGTATCAGAATGAAAATTAATTTACCATAAACTGGTCACTAGGGCTTCCCCTACTGGCGTCTAGCAACTAGTGACATTACGCGGAGTCCTGATGTCACTGCTGTGTGGAGGCAGAGTGGAGGTCAGAGTGAATGGTGAGCATGGGGCTGGAGAGAGGAGGAGACTTTCGCAATGAATGTAGAAGAACAGGAGGATTAGAGCGGACGGGACGCAGCGAAGGTGGTGAATGCTGGTCTGTTTCTGCTGACACTACCTGATGCTCGCGGCTGCCCTCATGATGACTGAAGGTTCTCAGTCAGTGGCAGACCCTGCTCCAGCCCAGATCCAGGCCCCAGCAAGCCCAGTGACAGTCCTCCGGCAGGCCCCAGGGGGTAAATGTCTGATAAAGGGTTAGGGGGGATGTCTGGTGAAGGTGTTCAGTGGCACAGGGGTGGGGGGAGGGCGATCACTTAAAATGACACAGGAGGATCAGAGGGGCCAATCAAAATGACACAGGAGGATCAAAAGGGGTTACTAAAATGGTAATTCCTCCTCTGATTCTCCTGTGCCATTTTGATTCCCCCCTTTGCCTCCCACTGTGTCATTTTAAGTGATCCCCTCCCCCCACCTTGATAACCCAATTCCTTTTTTTTTACCCCTAGAAATGAGCACAAAAAGAAAAAGCTACTCTGTGGAGTACAAGAAAGGAATCGTGGAAGACTCTTGGGGCTAAAATCTTACTGCTTTCTGCAAAGAGAAGATGTTGAGTATCCGATTGGTCCGAAAATGGCGAGCAGAGTATGGTAACCTCATTGACCAAGTGGATAAGGGAAATGCTAAAAAGCGCAAGTGTGGATCAGGTCGGCAACCATTATTTTCCGGGCTGGAAGACCTGATCTGTGAATGGGTTGTTGACAGGAGAGCAAAGGCTTTGGTTGTGAATAGGGCTCAGATTCAAGAATTTGCCCTTGCAATGGCATCACAGTTTGACATAGCCCCCGAAGACTTCAAAGCATCACAACACTGGCTGGATAATTTCCTTCAGCGAAGTGAACTGTCTTAAAGAAGATCTACAACATTGTTTAGGTTGGAAGATACTCAAGTTATTAAGTGAGCACTTGCATTCAAGTCCTTTATTGATGATGCTGACTTCTCTAAATACAGTCTTTCCAACATGATTGCTATGGATGAAACTGCAGTATTTATGGGCCAATCATCTCAAACAACAATTGAACAGCGGGGTGCCTCCTTAGTGTACATTCCCTCCACTGATTACAAAAGTGCACGTGTTTTCTGTATGTTGGCAATTCGTCTGGATGGCACTAAAACCCCACCTTTAATCATTTCTAAGGTCAAGAAGGAAAAGATTGAACGTGTTTTGGGCATTTTTATTCTTGATACTGAAAAAGCCTGGGCCACACAAGCAGTTATAAGGAAGTGGGTTGATTTAATGCTGCCGCTTGTTATGTGAGGGAGCCAAAGAGGTCTGCTAGTCTGGGATGCAACCAGCACTCACTGTGCTAAAGACATGAAGACATTTCTTCATGAAAGAAAAATAGATCAGATAATGATTCCCACAGGAATGACGGCCTATCTCCAGACTCTTGATATTGTAATGAACAAGCCATTCAAAGACAATTTGTGCATGGAAATTAATGACTACATTGAAAATAGAATGGAGAGAAATCAGCGTGAAAACTTTGTGAAACCTAAACTGCAAGAAGTTGTGACTTGGGTGAAGAATTCATGGGAGAAAATCACTGACAGCTGCATTGCAAATGCACTGCGAGCAGGCTACCTTGATAAGAAGTACTCATTTAAAGACAGTGCTATTGCTAAACATGAGAGATTTGGTCCAGTGATTCTGAAAGAAATGGAGTCACAAGAAATTCACCAGGAAATTCAGGAATTGGATTGTTATGATGATGTTCCAGAAGATAATGACATGATTGTTATTGAATAAATGAGTAAATTCTTGATACTGTAGGATTCACAGTTTGTCTTGACAACTACCATACTACTGTACCGTATACAGGTAATAAATTTCTTTTATTTTCATTGAACAATAAATGTTTACCATATTCTTCTTCATGAAAAAATAAGACATCCCCTGAAAATAAGACCTAGCACATCTTTGGGACCAAAAATTAATATAAGACACTGTCTTATTTTCGGGAAAACAGGGTATAAATTTCAGCTGGTTTGGGTCATAAGCATTTTCTCGGTGCTACCATTACATCATAGTATGGTTAACCTAGCTGCATCTTAAAACTAGACTATAAGCCACAAAAGGAGAGGAAATGTATCTGCCTTGATCATTATTCCATCCCCAATCCTGTAAAAGTGACTATTGACAACGTTGGCTGAATCAATGAACAAGTGAGTGGGTAAGTAGATGGATGGATGAATGAAGCCATAGTGGAAATTGACAACATATGTTTTGTGAAATGTTGTTTAGAAGGCCTTGTACCAAAATACCGTATTTTCTGGCGTATAAGAAGACTTTTGAAATGAAAAAAGTCAACCGAAAATCAGGGGCAAAAGACCAAAATTGTACAAAAATTACCTGCAGATCTTGACGGCAAAGTAAGTCTTTTCTTTGAAGTAGGGGGTAGTCTTATACAGCGAATATAGGCCTAAACTATGTTTTAACTGCAAGATTAGGGGGTCGTCTTATATGCCAGAAAATACCAAAATTGCCTTTTTATTTTAGTTTCAGTCCTCAAATTCTAATAAATATCAGTTCAGTGAAGTCACATCTTCAGTTTCATGGGCAATGAAGAATTAAAAGTATGAAATAGAATTGAAAGAGACCTAAAATCAATATTGTATTTTCCAGATAGCACCTCTCTTGTCTTTTCAAAGATGGTATATAGCAAAACCTTACTTGGGTAAAAACTGCTGTTTGAATTTTAATCCTGCTATTCTGGCTTCTCCACTTGATTAAACAATAGGGTAGTTACCTCATCTCCCCGGTGGAGACCTGGAGGCTAAGGCAATTTTCCTCTGCCTGAGACCAGAAATACTGGAGATTGATTCTGAAATATGGTAGCACTCATACTTGGGTAAAAACTGCTGTTTGAATTTTAACCTTGCTATCTGACTTCTACCTTCGATTGCTTGCTTAAACAATAGGGTAGTTACAGGAGATTGACTCCCACTGACTCAGTAGCTTCAGGGGTAGAAACTGTAGATAACCTTTAGTTCTGCTTTTGTATTATGGGCAAGATAGGGCCACATCCAATGTCAAGCAGAGTGTGACTGGGAACCAACCCTGCAGGCTGTCCCCAGTCTTTAGAATTTAGTCTTTAGGATTTAGGAACAGACAACTGATTGGCCAGTTGTTTGTCCTGAGGGGCCAATCAGGGTTAGCCGAGGCAGTGACATCACCGACCTGAATAAAACTCCTGGACTGGGCGAATTTCGCTCTCTTCCGCCATGCTGCCGGCGTGAGTGGGACAGGGCCCATGCTAGCATGGAGATGGCTCTTTTGTTTATTGCATCGGACTCGGCTCCCTGGTGGTCCTTGGGGATCATGACTGGAATCCCCAGCCAGGACCATGAGGGACCCCCATTCCGAAGAGCCTGACTGGCCGCGGTAGGTGTGTGTTTGTCTGTGTTTTTGTGTGAGCGCTCTGGAGGGACTGCCCCTCCATCAGGGCTCTTACCTGGGTGTTTACTGGCTGCTGCGTCAGCCATGGTTTGAGTCCAGATTCGAATCTGTAATAAATTCTAGCATGCTTAATCAAATTGGCTCCGGTGGTCCATCTCTTGGGGACTCGCTTTGTAACAGATTCCCACTAACTCAGTAGCTTCAGGGATAGAAACTGTAGATAACCTTTAGAGACTAACCACTGAGCTCTGCTTCTGTGTTATCGCTATCCTATCGCAAGATAGGGCCACATTCCAATGTCCAGCAGGATGTGACTTGGAATGACCCTGTGGGCTGTCCCCATTCTTTAGAATTTAGTCTTTAGGAACAAAAAGAAAATTCTTGCGGTTTAAACCTTTAAGGAATTGCCTACCCCTGAAATGGTGCAGTCATTTGGAGTCCACCTGCTTGTGGTGCTCCTGTCGCTGTCCTGGCCAGTTCAATAAATCCTTGCCTGCTTTTTTAAATTAATTAATCAGCCTCCAGCGGTCTTATTTTGAACCCAGAGTTCGACCCCACAACAATTTCCCCAGTACAGAGAAGTTGAAAGGTCATCTAGACAGTATGTAAAATCTGTTATTTAACCCTCCCTGTCGGAATCACTGTAAAATCAGACACACTTTATAACCAGCTTTGCACTTGACAAATAAATAAAAGACACTCTGAAATGAGGTCTAGCTGGTAGTCTTGCACTGCCTACACATCTCAGTCACTCATCTGTGAAAACTTACAGCATATAACTTCAGTTTCTGTACAGTCCCATTTCTTAACTTCAACATTTCCAATGATGGTCAACTATTCAAACCCCTGTGTTTCCTGTTATTTAAATAACCTCCAAATTCCTAACCTCACCCTTTCAAAAATAGATAAGAGGATGTAGTTTCTGACTTTGGCTACTAGTAATTTGGCTAATAGTTTTGTCCCATGAATTGATGATAAGCAGGTATAGCCCATTGTTTCTCAAGCTTCAATGTTCATACAAATGCAGATTCAGACTCAGCTGATCTGGGAAGGGTCCTGAGAGCCTGACTTTCTAATAAGCTTCCAAATGCTAAAGTGTGGCTGGTATTTTGAGTGCCAAGAGTGCAGTAACAAAACAATATCTTACAGACAGAACATCTGAGTTATTGAGTTAATTCCACTAGCTGTTTAATCTTGAACAACTTAATAAACCTCTCTATATTTAAAAAATAGAGATGATAATTCCATTTTTGTCATTACAATTACTAGCAACTGCACAGGTGTTAATTCTAGCTCTTCCATTTATTAGCTCTGTAATGTCCACTCCTCCATGGATAAAAGCAATAACTACCTCATAGGGCTGTTGTGAGAATTAAATGAGTTAATACAGATAAAGTAATAAGAATAGTGCCTGAAGCACACCAATCCCTAATTATTATTATGCTCGCATACCTGTCATTCAGATACTTCAGCTCAATATCATACTGAAACAGGACTTTGAGGAGAATATAGGCAGGTTTAGGGAATTTTTAGAATTGGGGTTCATGGAAAAAAAACATAGGGCTATAGATTGGGAGAAGGCACATTTCCATAACACAAGGAAGCCAGGTGCAGTTACATTTCCATAAGACAAGGGAGCAGCAACAGTTGCATTTCCATAAGACAAGGGAACTAGAAATAGCAAAAAAGGTCTATATTTACAAAATAAAGAAGTAGGAAGAAGCCCTGTAGGAATAGGAGGACAATGAGGGAGGAGAGCCTCAGGAATAACTAAAGTAACAAATTTTAAAGGGAATATCTATATAGCTTTTATAAACCATGGAAACAGGAAATCTGTGGGATCCTTTCCCACTCTCCACATGGGAGTCCATTCTGTGGGACTCTTTCCCTCTCCTCACAAGGGAGTCTGTACTTGTTTTTCAATAAATCTCCAGCTTTGCTATACTACACTTTATCCATGGATTCATTCTTCCACTGCTCTGGACAAAGAACCTGGGTTCCAATCCAAAAATTCCATATCAATTTCCTTATTCTGAAAAGGTGTATTCATCTCACATATCTTATCTGATCCACCTTGTTGCTACCCATATCATGGTTCTGATGCTAGGCCACATGTTAGATTGATCACAAATTTTATGGTCCAAAGCCCACTTTTTGTTTTAAATATCAAAGTGTTTCCTTAGTTTTATATATATATTAATTTTGAAGAATAGTAATCCCTCCTTTTGAAAACTGCTGTTTGAACTATTCTGTTATTCTTAGTCTCTTATACTGTAGGTCAATTCTGTTATTTTTAAGAGTATAAAATAATTTTTGTTATGCCCAGATTTTATGATCCCCAAGGACCATCAGGGAGCAGAGTCTGATGCAATAAACAAAAGAGCCTCTCCCATGCTAGTATGAGCTGTGTCCCACTTAGGCCTACAGTGTGGTGGAAGAGCCTGGGCTTCAACAAATCAAGGGGTTTTATAGGGGTGGTGATGTCACTGCTTTGGCTGACCCTGATTGGTTGGGTGAGGGCTAGGGTCCAGTTACAAAATGGAGGATAGCTCCGCCCTGCCCCACAGTACAAAATGGAGTTAGGAGTTAGCCCCGCCCCACCCTGCCCTCTCACTTTGGTTTTTGCTTAAATAGAAAAGATAAACTTGTCTGACCTTGCAAGCTAGCCAGCTAACTAATATGCTGATATTGATGCCAGGTGCCTGTATAGATATGATACTCAAGGTTACTGGTGTTTGTTAGATATGATATGTACTCAAGGTTACAAATTGTCTATAAAAATAACTTACACAAGGACCTGCCGAAGCCGGTTTGGCTCAGCGGTAGAGCGTCGGTCTGCGGACTGAAAGGTCCCAGGTTCGATTCCGGTCAAGGGCATGTACATTGGTTGCGGGCACATCCCCAGTAGGGGGTGTGCAAGAGGCAGCTGGTAGATGTTTCTCTCTCATCGACATTTCTAGCTCTCTATCTCTCTCCCTTCCTCTCTGTAAAAAATCAATAATATATATATTAAAAAAAAAAATAACTTACACAAGGACCTAAAAAAAAGATATAAAAAGAGAATACTTCCTCCTTTGGGTGTTCAGAATTTGACAGGTAATCTGCTC